CGCTCTTCCGATCTCCCCAAAACCCCAAAACCCCATCAGTGTCTATTCATAAAATTGTAATTGTAATGAAGTCTTATTGAAATTAATAAATAAAGAGTATTTTTCATTTTTTACATTTGCACGAGCATCTACTACATAGCATCTTAAAGCATATCTAACATTAATTCTAACAATTCTGGCACACATATGTCATGCAAGATTCACAAACATATTTGCATATCTTGCATAGCTAAAAATTACACTGGTGGCATTTACCTACGATCGGCATGCTTGTTTTTCTTATTGGACATCTACAGCTCTCATTGTTATTTTCAGGATAACCTCTGGTACTATTATTACCATAATTATTTCGATTCATGCCTTATCCTTAGGAAAAATCTGTAAGACCAGCTGAAGAAAATCCAAAATTGCTTGCAAAGCTTTAAGCACTATTGCTTCTCTAATGTTAATTCCAACTGTTCTAGCTTGGAAAATTTTGATTAAATGAGCTGTTATTATTATTGTTGTAATTGTTGTTATACTGCTTGAAACTACAGTTGCTATTATTATATTGAGGACGTTTATAACTATCTGATTCAATGTTGACTTAGTTTATTTGTTAATTAGGCTAATCGTTATGTTGTCCAGCAACTATTTCACTGCATTTCTTGAGACTGCTGATAATGTCTGATTAAATACTGAAACTCTTTTCGTGGTCATAATAATTATACTATTTAGGTGGAGGCCTCGATCTTTTTAGCTACATACATCTTTCTAGTTCTCCAATTTTCTTCATTTTATCATTATTAAGCTGGTTAAGTTTGTCTAGAATGCATTACTATTTATGAATGTCTAGCGTAATGGACTCAACATTTTTGGTGAGTCCTGTTAATTCTGCAGATCTTTTCTTGAATCTCGCTCGAAGAGCATCGACACAGTCATGAATCTTTTAATGTATCTTTGGCACATTTTCTTTGCATTTGATACATTGCTAGCATATGAGCTCACACGTATCTTCATGCTTGGTAATTTCACTTCTGGAAGCTTTAAAATTGCAACCTATACCTTCACATTTGACTAGAACAAACTCGCAATTATCAAAATGTTCCTATTTAAGTGTTGATTTATAAGTTTTTTTGCAAAATTCACAAACTTTATCATATGCTGATACATTACATATCCTAGAATGATCGAAAATCTATGAAATAGGAAGTTTAGACTAACATAATGTACAAGATATTATCCTCAAAATGCATTCATCATCATGCTAAAGTATTTAACTATAGTTAATTGGCTGCTAGCAACCCAATTTATAATTAAAGCACGTAAAGTACACACATTTTAGTGCCTTAACACATTTCCTTGGAAATGGGCCTCCAAGAACTCCATTCTTACACCCGTATGGGCATGAATTTTAATTTTAATTAGCGTAATCCTGAAAGCAACTAACACAAAATGCCGCTTTGCATTTCTTACAGCTAGTTGCATCAACTAAAATATCAGAGCATATTTTGCAAGTAATGTTGTTTTAATCATCTGTATTCTCAAACTCATACTTTGCTACTCTATCTTTGAGTTTTATATTGTATGCTATAGGCTGGAATTAAAGCGGCATTTTTTAATTGGATGGAATGATATATGATTTATTCTTCATTTTGAGATGCTTTTAGTCTGTCTCCGTCATAACGAAATTCTCCTATACAGATAGATTTTGATAGGTTTATGGGTTCATTGTGCTAAATTTGATTTCTTGAAGAGCTTTTTAGTGAGAAACTATAACTTATAAATTTAATTAATGAAATATTTTCAACAAAATTTTAAACTTCTAATTTTTTAAAAGAATATCATACTCTTGGGGTTTTGGGGTTTTGGGGTTTTGGGG